TTTAATTCCTGTCTGCTGGTGCCAAGAGTGTTAACTGTGGAGCCAAGTGGATTAAAGCTGTGAACAATCTCAATCTCTTCACCATCCATCTTGATGCTACCAGTTGGTCCAGTGGTGAAAATCTTTGTCTTCTTGACATTGAGCCTCAATTCATATTGGAGGCTGCAGTCCTTGACCCTCTGCAGCAGGTGCTTCAGGTTCTCCTCAGTTTCAGCAAGCAGGGTTGTGTATGTATTTAATATACTCTGCATAAATAACATTTCTATTAAAATGCTTGTCATTTCAAATAGGTAAACATTAAAAAAAATCTCAATATATTTGAATCCACAACCAAGTTAACCTTGAATTACTTCTTGTATACTGAGAAGAAACATTAGCGATCTTTCATTGGTGTTGTTGTTGTTGTTGTTGTTAAGTGTGTTGTAGGTGACTCATAGCGACCCTATGAAGGGAAATCCTCAACACACTTGTGTGACTTTCATCCTTGCTCCAGGTTCATAGGGTTTCCGGAGGCAAGCTGTTTATGGAAGTAGATGCCACTCCTGCTTCCAAGCTTGTTTCAACCGGGGAGTGCCACCAAACACTGTCCACCATGGGTAACCATTATTGCATTTGACACATCAGTGTCACAGTGTTCAACTTCACAGCTGCCACCAGTTACCTCTGTACAGCAAGTGGACATACCAGGACTATACAACCTAGAAGACTGTTGGAACAAAAACAATGAAAAACAGGCCTTTAGAGTAATTAATTACAGAATACTTAACTCATACCACGCGATGAATCACTTAAAAAGATCACTTTGCATAATATGGTTATGTTCCAAGAATTCCAAGAATAATATTATATGAAAATTATTTAGAAATTCTAACCTGGTTTCTTTCCTTTTTTATGGCAATTATAAAGTGTCCTTAAATCATTCTGTATTTTTATTGTAGATTCTTACATGTACTCACCAATTATTTCATAGTCCAAGCTCCCTTTAATTTTACATTCTCCTGAGCAGTTATCAAGTGCACACAATATAATTTACTTAATTTTTGACTAAAAAAAAATCTAGTTTGAAATAGAAAATGCTAAGTATTCACCACAACAAGATAAAGGTAAATAATCCAGTAGAAAAATGGGCACAGGATATGAACAGACACTTCACCAAAGAAGACATTCAGATGGCTAACAAGCACATGAAGAAATTTTCAAAATTCCTAGCTCTAAGAGAGATGAAAATCAAAACAACTATGAGATATCATCTCACACCAGTCAGAATAGCAAATTTAACGGAACAGCAAGCAAGAAATGCTGGCGAGGTTGTGGAGAAACTGGAACCCTTATTCACTGTTGGTGGGAGTGTAAAATGATGCAACTACTGTGGAAGGCGGTATGGCGCTTTCTCAAAAAGTTGCAAATAGAGATACCATTTGACCCAGCAATTCCACTACTGGGAATATACCCCAAAGAGACCATAACCGACATCCAAGCAGATATATGCACACCCATGTTTATTACGGCTTTGTTCACAATAGCAAGGAGTTGGAAACAACCTAAATGCCCATCAACAAACGAATGGATAGAGAAGCTGTAGTATATTCACACAATGGAATACTACACTGCATTGAAAAACAAGGAACTCATGCAATATTATTCAAAATGGGTGACCCTGGAGGACATTATGCTGAGTGAAGTATCTCAGTCACAAAAGGACAAATACTGCATGGTGCTACTGTTGTAAAACAGGACTGATCTTGGGATTGGGGAGAGACTGAGAAAGATGGGTTCAGTAATGTATACTGCATTGAAACCGATGAGGGAGAAAACTGTTTAAAAGGGATATGTGATTAGGTATTTTTCCAGAGCGAAGACTGCATAGTGGAGTGGACCTGGGGGAGGGTTTGTAAAACAATGAAAGAATTTGTCTTTTACTTTTCCAAGAGGGTAGTGTACTAGAGGGCAGGGTTGTGTAGGGAGAAAAGTGCAAGAATGAATGAATGGAAATCCAAAGTCTCTGCAAATTTTCATTGAAATTAATAACAAATTTTTTAAATGCTAAATATTCTATTTTGTAAAATACATTTTATTTGGTTTTTATTTCACAAGTCTTTATCAGATTTTTGACACATTTTTAATTACGTTAATATTAAATCTCTTAATTTTCAAAATCTTACCTTAAGAAACAAACAGTATTTAAGACATGATATGACCATAATTTATTATCTCTTATGCAGGAGTGGCATCCACTTCCTAAACAACATGTCTCTGGAAATTCTGTGGACTTTGAAAAACGGTGATAGTGACCGAAAGGCTTCATGTCTTTTGTTCACAGGGTTCCTTTGAGCCATGCTCGACTTGATGGCAGTCAACAACAACAACATATATTTTATAAAATTGTGGCATTCTATAGATTTATTATGGCTTTTGAAATATTATAAAGTGAACAAAATTTCATTTGTTGAGACCTAAATAAATTGTTTTCTGATGGTGATTATAGAGCATATTAATGGATGTTGGGGGGAAATGAGACTTGCTTTAAATTGAGACTTACAAAGTAACAGTGAGAGTTACTCTGTTCTTTTATTTTTTCACAGTTCTCAGTGGCCTCTGTTCTAATGACTGTCCTCGTAAGATAACGGTAAGTAACTTAACTTTTCAGTTGTAAATATTTCTGTCCTTATTTTCTGCACAATAAATAAATACAGGTAAAATAGTTTTTATTGCTCTTAGGAAGTGAATAAAGTATTTTTGAGTGCTCATGAGAACTTTGCTGGAAATTACAGCACTGAGTCAGAACCAGTATATCCTTCACTGGGTTTTCAGAAGACTATAGATTTCATGAGGAGACTGCCCATCTTCTGCTCTCTGTCCCTCCAAGATGTTGAGTTCTGAAATGTTGATATTACCATTCTGTATTGCAGTTTCTTGGTTATCTATAGTTTCTCCTATGCCATTGTTTTTATGTGCTTTGTCTTACACTGATATTTGTAATTCTCCTAGAGTTTGTGATGCCTTATATTATTATTAGAGCTCGTAGATGCCTTGTATTATCTCTATTTTTTTTCTCCATCTTGTGAAAACACTTGATCATAATTCTTCTGAATTCCCTCTCAGAGAATTCCATCATAAAAAAAAAAAAAAGAATTCCATCATCCTTTCCTCCTCTTGGAGATTCACTGGGCTGCCTTTTGATCACTGTGTGTGGTTTTGTTGTTTTGTGGGGTTTGAGGTTGTCCACTCCATCTGAGACATTGTTATGACATTTTTATTGTAGGGTTTTAGGAGTTTAAAAAAATCTCCTTCTCTCTCTCTCTGTGTGTGTGTGTGTGTGTGTGTGTGTGTGTGTGTAAGAGAGAGACAGAGACAGCTGAGTGGCTGTCTAGGAGACTCTCTGTCATCTGGGCAGTGCCGTTGGGTAGGGGCAGAGTTGGTGGTGGATTTGAAGTCTAATGCTGGACCAATGGGGTATGTGCTGTACCTCACTATGATGAGATATATGTGTGCTCTAGTCTAGTTTATCGTGGGGTCTGCAATGAGGCTAGTGCAGGAACAGGCCCTCTGAAGGAGCTGGTGAACTGTTGCTTTTCCCTACCACCTCTTTGAGGAAGGGTCTTTATATCTTTCTCATGCATACAGCAAATTCACTGGGATACTGAATTTTTTAATCTGACTCTCTATGGATCAGGGGCTCTCTGTAATTTAGAGACTATCACAGTGTTGCTTATTGATTTTTTTTTTCTGTCATAGTGTCCAATACATCAAATCTATTCTTAAATCGTTTTTTAATGCACTTGTTATACAATCAGGTGGTATTTTGGTTCTTGTGGGCTTGTTTTCATTTTCTTCATCTTCAGTTTGAACTTGCATATAAGTAGTAAAAGCCCCTGGCCTGGTTTTGACTGCTGCTACTGAGTTACTTCAGTGTCTCTTTCCATAGATGTCATAAGTCTAATTCCTGTGAAGTCCATATAAATAGTCACCTTTTTGCTTTTTGAAAATATATTTGCCGTGAACAAATCATTTATTGTACCAAATTCTATTATATGAGTATATTCCAGCCTCATTTCTGTCACCATGGTCATATTTTCCAACTATCAGTCTTTCTTCATTTCCAACTTTTGGATCCCTGTCTCCAATTATTATTAATGTACCTTAATTACATGTTCAATCAATTTCAGGCTGCCAAAGCTTCTGTAGCAATCCTCCATTTCTTCGTCTTTGGATTTCATGGTTAGTGTGTGTGTGTGTTTGAATGGTTATATTAACAGGACTTCCTGGTACACATCTGAGCAGTGCCCTATCACTCACAGCATTGTACTTCAGCTAGATATGAAAATGTTCTTTTTGACAATGAATGCCACACCATTTCTTTAAAATTACTAATCAAAAATGGCCAACAGCAGTCCATGTCAGCTCACTAATGCCTGGGATGTTGATCTTTGTGCATTCTGTTTCATTTTTGGCACCTTCTAATTCCTAGATCCATGCTTTGTGCATACTGCGTTCCAGGTATTATTGAATGTTTGCAGGTGTTCCTCCTCTTTTTCAGTTTCGCCACCTCAGCAAATGAACATCCACCATGGGGTGAAAGCTTCGCTCCCTCCGTGTCACTGCAGTAGACTGCTTTGAGGAGGCAATTCTTCTCCAGTCATATTTTGAGTGTCTTGCAACTTGAAGTGTTTGTCTTCTGGCCCTTTACCTAATAATTTTCCTCCATTGTCCATAGAGTCTTTGAAGGCCCATTATTTCAGAAGTGGATGTGCAGGCCTGCTTCTAAGCCTGTCTTATCCTGGAAGCTCTGCTAACACCTGTCCAGCCTGGGTGACCCTTGCTAGGGTTTGCAACACCAGCGACAGAGCTTCCTGCTTCACAGCAGTGTATAAGCCACCACAGTGCAGCCAACTGACATAGTGAGTGATGGTTCTTTCATTTAGCAGCTCTTAAAAATGGCGTAGCAGCTCATTATTTAACTCCCACTAAAATTACAAGGGAGAAACAAGATCAACCACCCAAGGCTGACTCTTACGAGATGATGATAAGATATGCCTCCACCCACCAACCTTTTTACCATCTCTGACACCAGGCATCCTGCCTCCTGCCCACAACAGTACTTCTCTGCTGTTTTCAAGGCCACACAGCACTCAGGTCTTATCCTTGATTATGGAGCTGACTAAGAATACAGTTCTTAAGAAGTACTTTTAACTTGCTGCCACTGGGCCCTCTTTTGGTTTTTCTCAGTCATACGCAACAATGATTAGCCCAGTGGTCCAGCAGTGAAACCCTCCTCTCTGTCAGCCTTCCTGTCAGAAGGCACTCCCCGATCTCCTGCTTCGGGCCAGGAAACCGGAGCACCGTTTTCTGTCGATGTTCTGATTCTGCTGCCACCATTTCTCACCGTTGTTTCTCACTATCTTTTATAACTTTCTTTCTGTTTTCTGGATCTTGAAAGTTCCCAGTGCTGGGAACTTAAATCCAAAGGACATACTCTATTCCTACTTCTTTCTTGATTTCTAATTATTCCCTTGTCAGAGAATATTCTTTATATAGTTTCATGACCTAATATGTAAGTCTCTCCTGGAAAATATTCTGTGTACCCTTGAAAGTAATAAGTAGTGTGTTTTCTGTCTGTTGGGGTTTTCTATACATTTCTTTTAGGCCTAATTGGTTGTAGTATTCTTCTGGTTTTCTTTCTCCTTGTTGTTCTGTGTATTTGTTCTACCAATTTTGGAAACTGTTATATAAAAATCTACAGGTTAAAAAAATCTGTAAGTATTATTGTTCAGTTATTTTTCCCCTCCTCCAATTCAGGTATTTTGGATTTATATTCTTAAGTACATATCTTTATTACCACTTAATCTTCCTGATAGATTATCTTTTTGTCATAGGACCTCTTTCCTTAGTTTCTAGTAACTTTTAATCTGAAAGAGTATATTCTGATACAGCCACTCAGCTTTTGTTTACTTACTGTTGGCATGTTATATTTTATTTATCATTTTACGTTCAATTTCTTTGTTGTATTTGAATCTAAGATGTATTTCTTATAAACAGTATATATTTGGATCCTATTTTCATCCATCCTACTAACCTTTACCTTTTACTTGAGTGGAAAAAAAAAATTACCTGAATGAGTCTGTAAAATGTGATACTGTGGATAGTAATGTGAAATATGCTTTAATGTGAATTAGAAAAAAATTTAAAAATGAGGAAAGTTTGCCCCAAACACTACAATATCAATATTGTTAATGTCAAGAAGACAAAGATTCTCACCACTGGATCAATTAACAATATCAGCATGGATGATGAAGAGATTGAGATTGTTCATAGCTTTAGTTTGCTTGGCTCCACAGTCAACACTCTTGGCGCCAGGAGCCAGGAAATTAACAGGCATATTGGCATGGGAAAGTCTGCTGTTAGGGACCTCTCCAAAGTACCGAAGAGCAATGGTGTCTCTCTGGAGACTAAGGTGTGTCTCATAGAGGCCACGGTCTTTGCAATCACTTGTTATGCATCAGAGAGTTGGACAATGACTAGGGAGGATAGAAAGAATTGATGCCTTTGAGCTGTGGTGCTGGAGAAGAGTATTGAGAATACCATGGACTGCTAGGAAAACAAACAGATTTGTCCTGGAAAGGGTTAAACCGGGCGGCTTCTTGGAGGCAAGGATTCTGAGGCTTCATCTAACATACTTTGGACATGTTTCAAGGAGAGACAGGTCTTTGGAGAGGGACATCATGCTGGGTAGAGTAGAGGGACAGCGCAGGAGGGGAAGACCCTCTATGAGGTGGATTGATTCAGTGACTGGGGTAATTGGGATGGGTGTATTGGAGAGAGTACGATTGGCACAGGGCAGAGCAGAGTTTAGGTCACTGCGAGTCCCAAGCGACTCGACGGCACATAACAACAACAACATAAGTAACTAAATACATTTTTTTAAGATTTTTTTCAAATGAGATAAATCCACATAGGCAAACAAAAGAAACAATTGAATGAATACTGTAACATCTCTGCAGCTCTCAGTGAATCCATCTTAAAATACGGGTATCTTCCCAGAGGCACACGGTTCGGGTATCTTCCCAGAGGCACACGGTTCGGGTATCTTCCCAGAGGCACACGGTTCGAATCCACCAGATGCTCTGCCGCGGAAGGAGGGACAATCTCCTCCTGTACCAGTCAGATCTGAGTTGATGGTACACTCACACAAAAATAATAAAATAAAAAAAAATTTTAAAAAAAATATGGGTATCTAAATAATAATGCCCTCACTTGCACATATGCAAAACAAAAATATAGAATTTAGGTAATTCTTTTATCAAAGTAATATGTTTTATCAAAATATGTTTTATTACTTTTATCAAAGTAATATGTTTTATCAAACTATGTTGTTGTTGTGTACTGTCAAGTCAGAAATGACCCACAGCTGACCTCCCAGCAGGTTTTCAGAAGCAATAAATCACATGTGAGGAGATTGCCCATCTTTCTCCCATGGAACAGCTGGTGGATGTGAACTGCAAGCCTTCAGGATGTCAGCTTAGATTCTTAAACGAGGCTATGAGAGCTCCCTTGTGTACACTTACACTGTGTATACTTATACTACATAAGTATATAATACTTTTCTTTCCACATAAAAATACTCTTAAGACAAAGACATCAGTATTCCAGCATGGAGACTGTAGATGATAAACTAAATTTGAGACTGTATTAATAATGGTAATATGCCCTTGGAAGTCATATCTCCAAGACTTTCTGAAATTTGGCAAATTAAGAGTTTAAAGGACATACTGTATTCCAAATACATAGACCCTATGAAAGATAAGATGTATTATGTCAAAAAGAGATGTGATATTAGCAGTCCCAAAGGCACACAGTTTGAATCCACCGGCTGCTCCTTGGGAGAAGGAAGAGCAATCTCCTCCCATGTGAATAAGTGCCTCTGAAAACCTGTGGAGGCTCAGCTATGAGTCAGTGCCAACTTGAGAACGTAACAACAACATAACACTGTAGTTTCCTCTATGTTAAATAGAAGTTAATGCTGCTCTGAAGGTATTGGTAAAAAATAAGGCCCCAGGAATTGATGGCATACCAATTGACATATTTCAACAAACAGATCCAACCCTAAGTGGGCTTACCAGATTATGCCAAGGAATTTGTAGAACAGCTGCCCGACTGACTGGACAAGATCCATATTTATTCCCATTCCCAAAAATGGTGATCCAATAGAATGTGGAAAATATCAAATAATATCATTAATATCACATGCAAGCAAAATCCTGCTGAAGATTATCCAAAAATGACTAGAACAGTACATCAACAGAGAATTGCGAGAATTACAAGCTGGATTGAAAAGAAGCCATAGTACCAGGGATATCAGCATCTGATGTCAGATTGATCTTGATTGAAAGCAGAGAGTACCAGAAGGATGTCTGTCTGTGTTTTATTGACTATGTAAAGACATTTGACTGTATGGATCACAAAAGATTATGACTAACATTGAGAAGAATGGGAATCCTGGAACACCTGATGATGCTCATACGAAACCTGTACTTAGACCAAGAAGCTGTTGTACAGATAGAGCAAAGGAACATTGCATGGTTCAAAATCAAGAAAAGATTGTGTCAGGGATATATACTTTCTCCATATCTTTTCTATCTATATGCTGAACAGATCATTCAGGAAGCTGTATTTTATGAAGAATATGGCATAAGGATTGGAGGAAGACTTATTAGCAACCTGTGTTATGCCGATATACAATCTTGCCCATCAGAATTGAGGATTTGAAGCATTGCTGCAGAAGATGAAGGACTTCAGCCTTTCATGTGGATTGCATCTCAATATCAAGAAAACAAAAATCTTTACCTCTGGGCCATTAGGTAGTATGATAAATGGAGAAAAGATGGAAGTTAATGATTTCTTCTTACTCAGGTCCACAATTGGCAACACCCTTGGCATCGATAATCAGGAAATCAGAAAATGAGTTGATATGGGAAAATCTTCTTTCAAGAACCTCTCCAGAGTGCTAATGAGCAAAGCTATCATTCTAAAGACTAAGGTGTACCTAATCCAGACAGTGGTCTTCTCAGATGCTTATTATGGATCTGAGAGCAGAATATGACTTAAGATGACAGAAAAAGAATTGATGCCTATGAGTTGTGGTGCTGGACAAGAGTATTGAACATACTGTAGACTGCCAGGAGAACAAAAATGTCTGTCCTAGAGAGTGTGAAATCAGGTTGCTCCTTGGAAACAAGGATTTTGAAACCCTGTCTTATATACTTTAGACATGTGTCAGGAGGGACTAGTACTTGGAAAAGGACATCATGCTTGGAAGGCTAGAAGGTCAGTACAGAAGAGGAAGACCCTGGATGAGGTGAATGGCACAGTGACTGTGACATTAAGGGTAGATATGTTGGAGAGGGTGAGGTCAGCTAGGATAGGGCAAGGTTCAGAGCTGTTGTTCATAGAGTTGCTATGCGTTGTAAACGACTTGACAGCACATAACAATAGCAATACAATGTAGGAGTCTGGCGGTGTAGTTCATAGGGAGTTGTAGCTTAAATCACACCTCTGAAGATTCAGATCCACAGCAGCTCCAAGGGAGAAGGATGGACAGTGTCCTCTCATGCCATGTACGTGCTTGGAAACCTAGTGGAGCGTCAACTAAGAGATGGTTCCCACTTAATGGCAATAAGAGAGTTGAAGAGGCAAATAACCTAGTGCTTAGTAATAATTTTTTCTATTTTCCTACTAGAAGATTTTTTTTGGAAGTATTAGCTCTTTATGGCACTGATCTCTAAGTAAATGTCACCTAGGTAAAAATAATAAATGACTTCTTTATTTTTATTGAATTGCTTGAAATTTCAAATCATTCATATACTTCTCAAGGCTTATTAACTCTACCTTTTTTATTGTAGCCATTTGGAGTAAATCAGCCTGGACCATATATCATGTATACAACCGTAGATGCGAATGGGTATCTGAAAAATGGTTCAGGTAAGACTGGATAAAATGTCGACAATACCTAAAATCACTTCCAATATGCTGGGGAGATAAACTTGCTGACAGATGTTATCGTCATGGTTTCACACCTATTTATAAAATAATTTTGTTATTAGAATTTCAGTAGATTTATCATGATTGTTATTGTTATGTGCCATCATTTCACCTGCAACGCATAACAATCCTATGTACAGTATCCCTGAACCCTGCCCTATCCTGAGCCAGTCTCACTGACTTGGACACATTTACCCACATTACCCCAGATACTTGTCAATCCATGTCATCTGGGGTCTTCTACTCCTGCATGATCCCTCCGCCCTTCCAAGCATGATGTCTGATCCATCCTGGCCACATGCCCAAAGTATGTGAGACAGAGCTTCAAAATTCTTGCCTCCAAGGAGAAATTTAGTTTTACCCTCTCCAAGACAGGCCTGGTAATTCTCTTGGTGGTCCATGGTATGTTCAATATTCTTATCCAGCAACACAGCTCAAAGGCATTGATTCTTCTTCTGTCACCCTTAGTAGTTGTCCAGCTCAGCAAATAATTGTCATGCATCGCAAATAATTGTGAAGACCATGGTATATTAATTACATAGCATTTTCATGGTGACATTTTATTCTGTTAAAGAACCAAATCATTGTACTTATATTTCAGTTGAAAAGCCCTGGAATTAAAATTTCTTGTGTTATCAAGATTAAAGCCTAAAGTAGTTTAGATTGATAATTAAGATCATCTTGTTGTTGTTGTTGTTGTTTGTTGTTGTTATGTGCCATCAAGTCAGAAATGACTCACAGCTGGCTGACCCTCTCACAGGTTTTCAGAGGCTATAAATCACACAAGAGGAGATCGTTCATCTTTCTCCTGTACAGTAGTGAGTGGTGGATTCAAACTGCCTGCCTTTGGGTTGGCAGCCAAACTCCTTGCAACTAAGCCACCAGAATTTATCTTAGAAGGGGAGGAAATAAAGAAAAATTAAGAGAGTTGAAGCTGGCAATTTGGTTTTTTAACTACAGGGAATTTTTTTAAACTCTAGCACTCTTTGAGACTACTTTATAATCCTAACCATGAAGTATATACAGAGTTGCTGTTACTCCTTCTCACTTTTGGATATAAAAATGGATTAACCTACTAGAAAGCCATTCTTATGTTATACAGTCGTCTCACAATGACTTTTCTCTTGCACTGATTTGTACACATTAAGACTTTAGTTATATGCAGATACATTAGTATATTACTGTCTATCCTGGAAGCATGAAATAAGTAGGTCTATAGATGATTTGAACAGATTCCTTAAGTCTTTATTCAGATGCATATTAAACTTGGCACAAGCAAAGCTCCAGAACCAGCTGGTTTTATCAGTTAATTCTTTTAGACTTTAAGGCAAAAAATGCATTCAATGCTATGTAAAATTCAGAACAAAGAAGGAAAGGTAAAACACTTCTTATTTGTATCAAACTAGTGTAACTAGACAGAGCCAGTACACACAAAACCAAAATAGACTCACTGGTGAATTATCAATGCAAAATCTTACCTAACACACAAAACCAAAATAGACTCACTGGTGAATTATCAATGCAAAATCTTACCTAAAATGCTAACAGTTAAAATTTACCTATACAAGTAAATTATTACCTAATATAGGCACTGGTAGTTTAAAAATAAGATATAAATATTAGATAGCAATTATTTAACTTTTAAAAACTATATCAGAAACAACCCAAATGCCCATCAACAAACAAATGGATAGAGAAGCTCTGATGTTTTCATACAATGGAATACTATGCTGTATTGAAAAACAAGAAGCTCATGAAATATTACACAAAACGGGTGACCCTGGAGGACATTATGCTGAGTGAAATATCTCAGTCACAAGAAGACAAATACTGAATAATGCCACTATTATAAAAGAGGGCCAACATAGGGGCTGGGGAGAGACTGAGAAAGAGGGCATAAATAATGTATACTGAAAAAAAATGTATACTGCATTGAAACAGATGAGGGAGAGAACTATTTAAAAGGGATATATGATTAGGTATTATTGTCATGACAGGATTCTAGAATGAAAGCAGCATAGCACAGTGGACTTGGGGAAGGGATTGCATAACAATGAAAGAATTTTTCTTTAACTTTTCAGTGAGAAGAGTGAATTGGGAGGAAGGGATGAGCAGGGAGAAAAGTGCAGCAATGAATGAATGGAAATCCAAAATCTCTGTAAACTTTCATTAAAATTCATTTAAAAAATATCCTTTTTTTATATCTATTGGCCTATACCTCTTTCAGTGTCTACAACTATCTTAATTTCATTAGTCTGGAGGTTTTTTAGTTATGCAATACCTGGAAAAAAGTCAAACTCACTACCATTGGAGCCATTCGAACTCATAGCAACCCTTCGTCAAATTTCTGAAACTCAACTCTTAGAAAGTTCTGCTGGCCTAGTGGTAAGAAATTGCATTGCAATCCCAAAGGCACACAGTTCAAATCTGCCAGCAGACCAGCTGGAAAAGCATGAGCAGTCTCCTCTCATGCATATAACAGCCTCTGAAAACCTGCTGAAGGGTCACCTATGAGTTGATTTCTACTCGACAGCACACAACTACAACATTTGAAATTTCTGAGACTCAACTCTTAATGGAAGACGTCTGCCCATCTTTCTCTCAAGCTGGTGGTGGATTTGACGCACCAGAGACAAGTGTCTTATGGGAACACAACACGCTATAGACCATGCCATCAGAGTTCCTTGATAGAATAATATGCTACCCAATTTCTCTTACTCCTCTTTGACCTTTATAATACAACTACAAAAATTATGCATCAGTGTGTACCTATGTTTTTGTAATTAAGTAAGTAACTCCCACTTCCCAGGAAAAAAGAAAAATCTGAAAAGATTAACTTTTTATCTTAAGAATCAAGATTTCAACAACTTCATCTTACTTGGATCCATAGTCAGTATGCTTTGTACGAGCAATGAGGAGATGTAGTTAGAGAACTCTTCAAATTATTGAGGAGCAATGATGTCACTTTGAGGACTAAGGTGAGCCTGATACAGGCAATCATCTTTTTCACTCACTTCCTTTGCATCTGAGAGCTAGACAGTGAATAAGGCAGATAGAGGAAGAATTCGTGCCTTTCTGTGGTGTTGGAGAAGAGCACTGAACACCCAGTGGTCTGTGAAAAGAACAAGCATATGTCTTGGAGAAGGTACAGCCATAGTGCTCCTTGGAGGCAAAGATGATGAAGTGTCACCTCACATATCTTGGGCATGTTGCTAGGAGAGGTTATTCCTTGGAGAGGGACATCATGCTTGGAAAGGTGAAGGCCAGTGAAGGAGAGGAAGAGCCTCATCCAGGTGAACTGACACAGTGACCGCAGCAGTGAACTTGAGTGTGTCAGATTGTGAGGATGGCACAGGATAGGACAGGGTTCACATCGGTTCATAGGATAACTGTGAGTTGTTTTTGACTCAACAGCACCTATCAATGACAACAACAAACCTTGCTATTTGGAATTTTAAAATTCTCTTCCCAGCTTTGGATTGTAAATTAAGTGGAGGCCTTTTAACACAGTGTCTGACCTAAACAGTTTTGTGTGCTTTTTGTTACCACTGAAAAAAGGCAGCTTAGAGCAGAATGCCATGGCTCATTGATTTACCTCTCAAAAAAGTATAAATATCCAACGTGAAAAATAGAGTGCACTAAGGGATAAACCAGACTTCCCTTTTTAACTCCCTTATGCCATACTGTCTGCCTTGGAAACCAAAGTTTCTGGTTTTCTTGTTTGTTTGTTGTTGTTGTTGTTGTTGTTGTTGGTTTTAATCCAGAGCGTGACAGCTAAAACATAATCGTGCATACCCTCAGAAGAGCTTATCTCCCTAATAGAACTCTAAAGGAGCATGGACCAGTAAATTGGAACTCCACAAGCAGTAACACCTAATGCAATTTGGTTTTATGAGAGTTGTGGATTTCTTTTATTGTTTCCCTTTGTATTCTTTTTGCATGAACTGACAATGGCTTTTTATCATCTCTTCATTAGACACCTAAGTGACTCAAACTACAGAAAAGCAGGTATCAAAATGAAACTATTTTCTTTCTCAAAAAGTTAAACGTGAAGTTGTCATATGACCCAGTAATATCACTATTCTATATATTTCCAAGAAAAGTGAAAATGTAAGTCCAAAAAAACACAAACCAACAAACTTGTAAAGGAAGGTTCACAACATTATTATTAGTAACAGCCAAATACATCCACTCATCACATTTGTGTTAATGTGAAATGTTCAGAGGAGGCAGACCCCATTTGATAAAATCAAGGAAGTAGTTCCTTAGGGCTGGAGAAAGGGGGATGGGGGGCAGGGGCGGTTGGGTATGGAGTTTCCTTTTGTTATGAAAATGATCTGAAATTAGATCAAATTCGATCATTAGATGTTTGCAATACTTAGTGGACATAAATTTTAAAGAGGTGAGTTTATGGAATGCAATTTTTGAATTATAAAAGGAAAATAAATTATTCACCTTCTAAATTTAAAATGAAGCTTTGGTGGCCTAGTGGTGAGGTTTGAACCCTCCACCTGCTCCCTGGGAGAAGGGTGACCAGTCCCCTCCTATGCTGTTTACAGCATCAGAAAACCTGCTGGAGGATCAGCTGTGAGTTGGTTCTAAGCCCTGACAGTACATATCAACAACAAACTTATAACTGGGAAGCAGGCTGACAGCTGTAGTTTTAAACAGGGTTCTAAGCTTCTTGATTTATTCTAAGAAGAAAAGTGTTAAAGCTTCCCATGAAAAATTGTTGATCCTTACACAGATTTTCAGGAATGAACATCAAGTGGAAATTCATTTTCAGAAAGCCAGAAAACACTAGGAATAATTATATAATAATAGAAATATCAACTAACATTTAGATAGTGCTATGCAATGTTCTGTTTCATAAAATTCCTGTGTCAGCCAATTCTTTTTTTGGTCCAGAAACTCTATGTACTCTTTCCACCCCTTTTGAT